TTAAAACAGAATCAATAGATAATGTTTTTATTTAAAAGCAGGTTTTGCACGGACGTAATTTTATTCAATATGCTGATTATTGCTATTTCATTAATCAAACTATCGTAAAATTATTATTATTATTATTATTATTATTATTATTATTAAACCAAAGAATTTTTACATTACGACGTATTGTTGATTTAATATGCTGAATCATTATTATTAATGGTATATAGGCCTACCTATTATATTTCAATAACTTAATCAACAATTATGTCATTAATCTCATTATCGTAAATAGGCCTATTGAAGCATTATTGAAGTATTAATTATTCACTAAAGCATTATTCGAGCAACTTTATTATTATTATTATTATTTATATATTATTTATTAATCAGATTAACATTGAAAACATGAATATGCATATGTGCATAAAATTATCGCAGAAAATAAACTTATAATTTATAAGATTATTTTTTTAACATAATCAAATAGATAACGTTTTTATTTAAAAGCAGGTTTTGCATGGACGTAATTTTATTTAATATGCTGATTATTACTATTTCATTAATTAAATTATCGTAAAATCATTATTATTATTATTGTTTGTTTATTTTTTGTTTTATGTATATGCCTAGGCCAAAATAATATATATTGTATACATTTAATAATTGAATTATAAATAATTATTTAAACTAATTGTTAAATAAATATAATATAATATTAACAATAATATAGGCTAAGCTAGACCTAATCAATTATTGATATAATAAAGGCAAATATTTAGAACATCATTAATACAACACCTTCATGACAGTCCAGCCCTCCAAATTTTGTTTTAATAAATAATTGAATTCACTGATATATTTTGATCTTCATTCATTATTATTATTATCATTTACTTTTTATTATTATTTATTTATTTATTTATTTATTATTATTATTATTATTATTATTATTATTATTAGTATTAGTATATTAGTATTAGTATTAGTATTAGTATTATTATTAATATTATTGTTATTATGTCTTTGCCATTAACATTATCATTGTTTCTCTGGTAGGCATCTTGTACAGGGACATGTTTTTGCCTAACCAGTCTCATTACGTTTTGCCATTACCGGCTAAACTTACGACCCTCACCTTTGGCCAAGTCCTACACTTAGATAATTAGGGCTAGGCCTGGGCCTCCTAACTGATTGGTATATCCATAAATCATAAATAATTAAATAATAAAAAAAAATAATTTAGCTTAGTAGTAGAAGTGTCATTATATTTGACGTAGCTACAGTAGCCTAGGCCTAGTGCAACGTTAAGATCATGCACTGCCCTCTCCCCCTCATTTTTTAAATATTGTATTCAAAAATCTTTATCTCCAACTGTTCAATAGTTTTGTGTCATGAAAAATTAGTTGTACAACATACGTTCTAATCCTCCCAATTTGATCGGGATTCTCCCAAATTTTCATGCAATCTCACGGTCTCCTAAATATTAGAAAATTCTCCCCAATTTTCAGAAATGAACCCCAAATATTAAAGATGGCTAATTATTAGCTTTTTGGTACCAATAATTGAGTATTTGTGTGCGGACTTTATCGATGATGTCGGCATAGAAAATCTTTCCGACTGTTACTACACCTCAAAAGATCAGAATGCATGCATGAACAAAACTGAGATTTTCAAAATTTTGTGGGTGGGGTACACTTCACCAGCGCACCTCCAGTCTCCCGAATTTTGAGGTCCAGGGACTGGCTTTAATTAATTTTTTTTATTTTTTCACTGGCCATACCAAATTGTTGAGTATTATTACTCATGAACAGTAAGCCTACTGAAGTAATTTTCATTCTATTTTGGTTTGTGTAGGTCAGATTCTTAGTTTATTAGCTTGACTTTTGTAAGGGCTAAAAAGGCCTTCATATTTTCAAGCTTATTTCTTTTTTCTCAGCACCCATACAAATATTGACTGCTCTAAATTAGGGGAACAGTGAAATCTAATGCCCCTCGGTGATGTGGAGACCATAACCTTCTAAGGGTGTGTTCGGACAAGAACAGGAAAAAGTTTCATAAGTTTCTTACTGGTATTGTATCTGCGGGTGGTCTGCTGGTTTGTGCAGATCTCAGCTTTCAAAAAAACCGTTAACTTCGGACGTAAAACCTAGGTATTATGCAAATTATGAGTTTCTATCAAGTTGCCCTGGACTCTTGCTTCACCATGCTTTAATCAAGAAGTATGTTTAATGCTTCTTCATCCAGGAGCTCAAACTGACCAGCTCCATGTTTGTTTATTGTCTCTCTGATCCATACTGCGGTCAAAGAGCCAATCTCTCTCATCGTAAAGGTCGCAGTCCCCTTGCCGCATGCATGTCATAAATTACAGAGCGATGGTATAGGCTACTGTAAGTTTAGTCCTAGTGATTACAGTACATTGTGATATGGTAAAAAAGTACATCATTTAAACGTGATAGTAGTTGTTCCCTGGGAACTATCATTCAACTTATGTCGTAGGAGTGATTGTTGAAGATATTTCCCTCTTTTTACCCAGGCAGATGACTTGAATTTATGTATGTGGTATATCTTACAGATATTTAATTATCTGATATTCCCGAATGCACAAAAAAATTACACTACACATAAAATACTGTACTTTGTTCCTTATGAATACTTACACTAATACCCAAAACCAATAAATTGCAGTATATTTGCTGTAAAATAATAATGATATAATCTCTGGAACAGCAATCAGTTTAATGGATAGAGAGTGAAACCACTTACAGTAGGATGGTAAGGTTGCAAAATGACCTTGAGATGCTCACTGTTTGTGAATGTGATGCTAATAGTATTAAAGATAATTATAGAATTTCAAGGGCTTAAAATAAGCTAGTTAATGTATTGTGCCTTTGAATTAATATTTAATGTATGTTTTTCGAAACATTATGTTATAATAATGGTATACTTCTAATAGTTTTTTTTTGTTAAATATAATCCAATACAGTAGTGCAATATTTTTTATAAAATTGGTTAAAAATAATAATAAAGTTAAACACAGATTTTTCAAAACGTTTGCATACATCGTAATTTCCATAGATCTGTAATTTAACCTTGTGAAATTTCAGAGTGCAAAACCTTAACTCAATTTCTCTCAAAAAGTGAGATTTTCAAGTTGTGTTGTTTTTCCATGGAAAGGCTCTCTGTAGTATCATGACTATGTAAATTTTATGATAAGAAATTTATTGTAAACAATTGACCATTTATTAAATATGTTGGATATTTGATTTTCACAACCCACTCTTGCAATAACATCAGTGCCTGCACACTTAACTCTACGTAGAGATCAAGGGTGCAGTAAAGATATATACTGATAGTACAGTAATGCTGTAAGTTATAATAAATAATGATATTATCGTGAATAGATCACGCTATAATTTTATTATTATCTCTGTCCCATAGCTGTCTGGAACGGTTGATGACTGTAACTGCGAGGTGCAATCTGTAGACACTTTCAATAACTACAAGATCTACCCAATATTACCAACCATATTACCTACTGACTATTTTAAATATTATAAGGTACAGTATTTTTGAACAAATATTTTCTATGTTAACCTCCATCCGCAAAGGAGGTTATGAATTCACTGCTGTCTGTCTGTTAGTTAATAACAAGATTACGTAAAAACTAATGCATGGATCATCATAACATTTAGTGGAGTGGTACATAATAATTGACACCAAGGTCAGGGTCTCGGAAATTCAATTATTTACTATCGAGCATAAAAGAAAATAATGGAATCACCCCGTGTATTCAGGCCCAGCAGTCAAGAAAATAATGCACCTGAATACGAAGGCCGATTACATTATTCTCTTAAGGGTATGCTGCAGTTTTGCCCATCACACATGGCCTGTGTATCATTGGTGTTCAGGCACAAGGCAGAGGTCTTGCGATACACGCTATGGAGTGACCGTTTATATCGTAATTACATGATTTTTGGGACTGCATAGTTGTACAGATACAGTACTAATGATATTTCAAATTTATATGCCACCAATTCTAAACCAATAATGATCAGATGTATTAGAGTAAATATTATTATCGCTTGTCCTAGGCTAACAATAACATACTGTACATTAGCAAACCAACACAAAGTCCAACATTCTCTGCTCTCTATGGAGTATATCTACGGTTAGTCACACTGCCATACTCAATGCTCAATCAGTGGGGAAACCTACTCTACTTTCTCTCATGTGCCCTTTTGAATGACAATTTCTCTTCGTTTTTTGTAGTGGGAAGTGATTTAACCTGGCATGATATAGCAAATTGTACATGCAAAATTGCATGAATTTGTACCGTGCAGTATTTAATAGTACCTGTATGTTAAAAATCTACAAAATCTATTATTAAAATAATAACAATATTATATAATAATAATAATAATAATAATAATAATAATAATAATAACACAACTGTAATTATTAAAGGTATAGAAAATAAAACAAGATAACAAGATGACAGTACTGTTCATAGTTCATAGTCCATTTTAAATAATAATAATATTAGTAGAGGTATTTGTAAATGACCATCCTACCTGAGAATACAAGGATAGTCAGGAGAAGAATCGGTCTCTTTGGTTACAGGACCCTATAAATCAAAGGAACAACTGTCACAGTATTGACAAAGTATGTATTGTCACAGTTCCATATGTGGAATCCGAATAACCCTTGATGCAATAAGATTCAAGCATCCACTTCTGTTAACCTAACTCTTAACTCTTAACTCTTAACTGACTCTTTGAAATTTTTAATTCCAACTAGATTTGTGAGATCATAAGTAACCTCCATCCTGATATTCGAAATTATTTCATTATATCTTTTAATTTTGATTTGTTCAAATGCAAGTTAAAAAAATATGTTAATGATTTTTAATTGTTCTATATTGTCTATCATTATTATTCCATTATTATTATTATTATTATTATTATTATTATTATTATTATTATTATTATTATTATTATCCATATATATATTTTTTTTTTCTGGGAGCAGCACATCTCTAAGATGACAGTTGTTCTGCTTTTGCTGCTCCCTGGCTCACCTGATTATTCCTTGTTTGTGAATTTCTGCTTTTTGTTTGTATTTTTTTAAATATTGTTAATTGTTTTGCCAGGATGAATAAAATAAAATAAATAATATACAGTATCCTGAATAAATCAAATGGTACTGATGATAGTTTTATATTTTGAATAAAGAAATTAAATATATGTTAAGGTTTAATAAAAAAATTAAAAAATATTTATTATTGTCTGAATTGGTAACTTTATATATTTTTAAGTAAATTATTAGGTTTCAATCAAAAATTCAATACTCAATATATATTTCCATTAGAATTATTAATATAAAACAGGCCTACAATAATAACATATAGTAATAAATAAGTGAAAAATAACCCCATTTTTTTCTTGCAAATTAAAACTCTAATATCATTATATTCTTTGCATTGGTCCATGATTTGGCTTGTGATCAATTTTTCTGTGTTTGTTTGTAAAGTACCAGTGAAACTGATACTTAAGAAATAATCTTATCATTATAATAATGAGATGGAAAAGTTAATGTGAGTGAAGTGTTTTTGGTTTCATTTTATGGTTGTTTGAGTAGTGGCGAGTAAATTGACATTGTAATTGACACTAGTATTTATTTATGAGGTTTTGCTAATGAGAAATTGATGTATTGGTTGTACAGTAGAATTTTTAATCTAAAACCACTTGGTTTAAATTAAGAATTCTACAACCAATAACTACATTAAAAACCTATGAACTTATTCGAAGAGAAGTTGATGTTTATCACACAATATGGATTGTCACTACAACCAACCTACTATGTGCATTATTTAATATTAGTACTGTACTTTTGACATCATAAGAGTAAGACTTGTAGACATTTTTATACCATGTTTTACGAACCTATCACCTGCCGATAATGATCATTTAATCTAAAATACAGTTAAACTTGCCTAAGTGGACTCAAATACTTATCTTATTTTACATGCCAAATTGTTGTGTTTTACATTAATTAAAGATCTGTAAGTCTAATTTTATCTAAGTCAAACAATTTTTTAGTGCCATTTTGGATTCGACTCTGGCAAGTTTAATGTAGTGTAATATCGGTTATGTCACCAATTAAAGTATGCCCAGTATTGGTTCTACCCAACGTATCTCTCAGGTCTAAACATACCCCAAACCTTAATACATTATTTTAATAGTAGATGACATCCTAAGACAATTTCATACAAATCCAGGTACTACTGTACTTTGCCTTACAATTACATACTATTACTATTGAAAATATTCTATTCAATTTACAGGCAAATCTGATTAAAGAATGTCCATTTTGGTCTGATTCTGCAAAGTGCAAAAAAGAGCAGTGCAAGGTCTCGCCATGTAAAGAGGTACGTAATATGGTGTGTTGGTTTCAGGTCCTAGTATGAATAGATAATTCCCAATCCAAAGCAGGTTCACCACAGTTTGTAGTAACCGTTCCTAAACATGTTCCTAGGCCTACTGTATATTAACTGTGTGATAAAAATGATGCTGAAGTATAGTACTGTACAATATTACATACACAGTGATTGGCTATGTAGGCCTGCACTACCGTATCTTGTAGTGCATACTATATTCATAGTATCATTACACTAATTCCTGCATGCATATGCTAATACTAATGCACTTCTGTGTAGTGTTCCAAACATAAAGTTATAGAGATAAGAGTCATTGGTTGTTTATTTGTATTGAACAAGATGCCTGTCATAGATTCAGCTTCTACTGTAAGATGATCCATCATTTTTACTTGTCTCATCAATTTAAAAATTAAAATTTTTAATTCAGTTATAGTTGTATGTTCGATCACCTTGTCATCAATTCCATTTTATTTTACTGTATAATTTATTTATAAATCAGTTTAACCTACTTAGCCACTTTCTGGCTAGACTAGATTAATATTTATTATCAATAATCATTATGTAAAGTAATAATTAGTAATGTATTGTAATCTTATCAACTGAAACTGTTTCTATGGCAGCCATGTTGTACAGCAGAGTATAGTCACGTAGCACTCTAATGGCTTTTTCCATACAAAAGGAGTGGAAAAATATTGTAATAAATTAGAGACAATTTTTGAGCCATATGGCCACCAGTAGCTTTTCAAAAAGACACCTTTATGAATTTCATACTGTACAATATGGTAGTAATTTGTTGCAGTATTTATTATTAATGTTATTATTATCATTAATTCATTATTAATAACATCAATGCCTACAGGCAGCTGTTGCAGTAATCATCGTTTCCATTGTTATCAATATCATCATTATTATATTTATTATATTAATTGCTATAATTACAAAATAAAAGCAAAGAAAAATAAGCCTACTTTGCTGGTACATATAACTACTGATTCCACTTCTCATTTCTATCTTTTTGTTTACAGGAGGATGTACCTTGTGGTTTAAGGAATGCTAAACAGAATAATGTAAGAACATTTTTACTATAAAGTCAACAAAAATGTTTATCACATGTTGAAATTTAATAACGAAATAATATTAAAGTACAAGAAGATAATATTAACTGTTAATCTAAAGAACTAGGTTGATAGGTTGATGTCCTTGGTTCTAAGGTTACACTCTTCAGTTGGCCCTAAGGCAGTTTCTATCTACCGCGGTAGACTTGTATGCAATGTGATATGCAAATTTTCTGCATACACAGCCTTGTGTCTACCGCGGTGCGGTAGATTAAGGCTTACCGCGGTAGAATAATTTGGCGACGCTCCCTAAGGACCTATGATAAAAACATTTATTAGATCACTTTTGCTGCTTCCATTTACCTTGTCTAGCATTTTTGAAATGAAAAAAAAAAAACCTAATTTATTGTGTTGTGCGTTCAAATACGGTAACTAACATGTTTGAAAAATGTGATTTTTATTAAATTGCTTATATGGTTATTATTGTTTTTGTAGTTAGGATACTTATATAACAACCAACATGTTTAAACAAGAGTGTTTTTTTTTTTATTAAATTGCTTATGTTTTTTATTTACTTTTGTAGAGCGAATCCAAGAAGGAATGTGCGTGTGATAAAGATGATACTCAATGTCACAGTCAATGCAAGGAAAATTTAGGGGCTTCAAGCAGTGCAGTGAGTTAACATTATGTTCTGTCTTATTACAATATCAATATTGATCATGTGATCCTAATCTTGAGTAAACAACATAGACAGTGCAATGATTCTACAGATGTTTGCTTAGTTGTCTGCAAGTTGTTTGATGTTAAATAATGTTGGTCAGTAAACTATTTCATTAATGTTTAAGAATAAACATGGAACATTGTCAGAATGGTTTGCCAATGCTCCAAAAGATATATATATATATATATTGATATTTTTCACAAAGTATAAATGCTAGGCCATGTATATCTGCTTCCAGATAAGTTATCTAGAGTTTTAGATCTGCATACTGAGTTGGACACGCTACAATTTTTAGGCTAGCTTAAATAATTCATTATCTTGTATTAATTCTAATGCCTGAAATACACTGAGAATGCTAAAATGAGTGTAAAATCACTGTCTTTAACAATTGTAATTACCTTTCCACCCAAATCACTAAGCCGTAACATTTCCTTTTTCTATACTTTTATGTTGATTGCGCAGTATGCCATAATGTCGCAGGACCAGCACTTGTTCTCTGTTACCAAATTGATCTATTCAATTAATTCATTTTAATTCAATCTCATAATTTTATTACAGATCATACCCTTTTTATTTGGGATGTAATAGTTTTTGTCTTTGAAATCAGTCTATACCTGAACTAGGCAGAATTCCAGAGAAGTCCTGAATTATGTAAGCAAATAACCATATTTACTGTTCAATTACCCATTAACAGTACTCGAGGGAAGCCAACGAAAAAAATGTTTGCTCGTCTGAATGCATCATTGAGACAGAGGAGGAAGAACGTCTGGGGGCGCTGGACAACAGTATAAGTGACATGAGCCGGGAAGCTTTCGAATCATGGCAGGTTCACGACGATGCAAAGCATGACTTCTGTGTTCCCGAAGGTAATTAATATCACACATGTACAAGAGATTGCAGCATAACAGTGTTACAGTAAGATTAGATGTGTTATCTATGTAAGGAAAAACATTTGCAAGGTTCCTTCTGTCTCCAAGGAGCAAATTATGTTGCGTATTGTGTAAGATTGTTTTGATGAGAGGGAAAATGGACAATTCCATTAACTGCCACCCTGTGGATATTGTTCTAAGGTCCAAAATAAATGGCAGCCATTCAAGAAACATGGTTAAAAGTTAACCAAGTTTGTGAGACATTTGCAAAATTCTGGCTGTGCCTAAAGTAACACATTCTGATTGGTCAGTTGTTAATCAATACAAGGTAGGGTCAATTAAAAAGATTTAATGATTATCATTTTTTTTAATTTGGATTAACAGATGAGTCATCTGAGCATGCTGAATTCTACGATTTGACCATCAATCCTGAGAGGTACACAGGCTACAAAGGCAAGGCAGCTCATCGAATATGGAACAATATTTACAAGGAAAACTGCTTCAAGTAAGTCAAGCACTTTTTACCCAGATTTTATAGCATAGAACACAAGGTAGGTAACCAATTTGCATCATGGTTTACATTGGTATAACTCCAGAAATTTGACTGGGTCCAACTAATCTGACGGGGTATGAACCATAGGAATCCCAGAGTATCTTTGTTTGGGTTGTTGAATTAATATTTTTTAAGTCAGGTCACTGTCAGTGGGGTGGGTTGGATGCAAAACTGCTTGGGTGTGAAAATATAGAATAAGGAACTAAATCCCTATTATTAAATGAAAAATGTATGGTCATTTTTAGTATTTTAACTAATTTAGTGGAACTAATTTAATGTCATGGGGAGCAGATAAATTTTCATCCCTTCATTTCTTGCCTTCCCCCAGCCTATGCCAATGAATGATCTGCTGTGAATCCATCTTGCAACATTCAATGTAAACAATCCTTAGCTACCTGCTGAAATATCATGGCTGACAGTGATTTTTGCCAGCCTTGTAACTTCGCCCAAGAGGCTCAGGACAGGGAAATATCAAGAATTTGTTCAGCCAGTTTCCCTACATCGTATGTGTGAAGTTGTTACTGGCTTTTCTAATATTTCGTTGATTATCTTTTCAATACAGGCCTGACCCACAAACACCTGGCTATGAAAACTTCCTCAATTCAAAGTCACTTGGAGGTAAGAACAAATAATAATTAACATAAATGTTGCTTGATTTTACCTTTTTATTGTTATATTATTATTGTTGTTAATGTTAAATGTTGCATAATTTGTTTTTACCTGACCTTTCATTACATGACCTATTTGATTATTGACCTGTTGTTGCTTAAACTGTAAATACACCTGTCAGAGAGCTTTGGATGCTAGAATGAAATCACTCATGCGTGACCATCCTGCCGAAATTCTTACATTCTCTGCATAGGTAGATTTGGCCAAATTGCGTCTTAGAATCTACACAGGAGAACTTAACGTTCTCGCATGAACACATGACTTTTAGTGACGTCATTACATTCTACATCCTACCGTTGTGCAATCGAAAGCTCCCTAATACATATCATTAATGTCATTACATGACCTGTCATAAGATGACCTGCCATTACATAACCTTTCATTACATGACCTGCCCTTACATGATCTGTCATTACATGACCTGCCATACAAGATTTGTCATACAAAACAGGGAGCTTACTATTGCACGACACGGTAGGACGTAGAACGCATTGACGTCAGTAAGAAGTCATTTGCGCATGCGAGAATGTTAAACTCTCCTTGTCACATGGATTCCTGGATGCAAATTGGCCAAATCTACATTGTAAAGAGAATGAGATTGAATCGGTTATAGTGTTGCGTCGTCGCACAATTTGAAAGCTCTCTATCTGTCATAACATGACCTGTCATTACATGACTTGTCATACATGATCTGTCATTACATGACCTTTTGTTACATGACCTTATTACATAACCTGTTGTCACTTGACCTGTTGTTGCATGAACTGTCATTGCACCTATCAGCACCTATTATTAAGTGATTTACATGATCTGCCATCATAAGATCTTTCATTACATCACTTGACCTGTTGTTTCATGACATGTCAGTTGTGAGACCTGTCTTTAGGGAGCTTTTAATGATGGTAGGTTGGACCTAGAATGCATTGACATCACTAACAAGTCATCTGTGCACGCAAGAACGTTCTTGTTGTTGCCTGGATTCTAAGATGCAGTTTAGTCTGAATCTATGTTTCGTCGTCGTGCAAATCAAAAGCTCCCTTTTGCATGACTTGAGGTTACATGATGTGTCTTTCAAATGACCTATAATGACAATCCCCTTTATGATTTGTCATTGCAAGACCTGCTTTTAACTTACCTGTCAGCTACTGTTCATTTGTTGCAATTTCTAATACTGTACATTGTCACTGTGTTTGCATGTGATGTTGAAATGAATATAAATACATTGTGGGCGAACCAAAAATTATGTGAAAGCTGCTGTTTGATTTATCATTTAAGGAATATATTTAGAAATAAACTAATGTTCTCATTATTGTTTTTTTGAAAAGTCATATTTTTGTTATATAGCAATTTAAGCAATTGTTGATGTTTTTATTTCATTATAAACTTATCACTTTGTCACCCTTTTTGTATTACTTTGTAAGAAGAAAAATTGTGTTTTTGAATTTAAAAAAAAATAAATGCTGATTAATATACATAATATTATTCATCAATTTTCTTTCCATTCACTGTTTATTTATACCCTGTAAATAACAACCTGTATAAAAACAAAACCTTATTACTACTGCTACTACTCAGCATTACCTCCCATATACAGTAGCATAAAAAACATGGCATTATTAATAGTGTTAAATATCGTGCAGCTGCAAGCAGCATGTTACAATATGGTACGACTCATTATCTGTCAAAATGCGCTTTTTAGAGTGCTTTAAAATGCTTTGTATCAACAAGAATAGATTGCTGTTGCCTTTTATTAAAGGCTCAAAATTTGATGCCACAATTTGTGTACAACATAAAAGCCTTTTCTAAATTTTATGTGAGCTAAACCATATGGAATTGTTTATGCAATTGTCTAATACAATAACAAAATAGACAGGTGTACTCCCACTATATTTTTTTTTTTGAATCGTAAGATATTATTTATGTTTTTTTTTAAATATTTAAAGCCTTTTATTCACTCCATTGCAGTGCATAGTACAATTGTTTGGCCTGTTTGTTTAAAATGCATGAAACCACAAACCACAGCAGTGCTGGCTCGGGATTGGGGCTGCTATAAACATTGTCTCAATGACTTAAACCCAATGTCAGGTTAACTTTTATGTGGCGCAAGGTTGTGTCCTTGGGCAAGACACTTTATCTACAATTGTCTCCCTCTACCAAGGAGTATAAATGGGTACCAGCATATCCTGGGATGGTAAAACAGACTTGCTGTGCTAGAGAGGTGTGATGGTGAAACCACCTCCACCCAACTACAGCCTTGCCCAGTCCAATCCAAACACCATTAGAGAGACGGGCACTCTTTTTTCAAAGATAATTACTTGATTACTTAGCACACCTGTCACTGCATGTTCATTGTTAATTCCAACTACTGTACATGTTTACCAAAACCCGCTTTAAACTGTATTTTCTTTTCTGAATAACATCAATGTTTTTTTTCGCTTTTCTTATGCCAGACCCCAAGTACCTTGCAGGTAACCCAAGTGCATGATCTTATGAGTGTCGCATCTTGGCTGTATCTTTATATCTTTTAAATTTAATTTAAGAAGTGTTTATTAAATGCATAATTTTTTTTTTTTTTTTTTTTTTGGATATGAGTTTGCATTTATTTTTTTGGTGGCAATAATAAAGTTTTTTTTCAGTAATGTGTTGTAGAATTAGAATTTTATTATAATTGTTATTATTGTTTTCATAATTATTTGATCTGGCTTAAAGTAAGTATATAGTTTGGTATTTTGGAAGCTTTGTAATTAAACCAAAATTTTTGACGATATTATTTGTGAGATTTCAGCTCTGTATAATAACATATATATTGTTTTGGGAGAAACCATTTTAATAATATGATCACTATCTTTGTACATTTTTATTATTTGTTTCTACTGTATATTATTCTTACTAGAAGGTGGTTATTTTTTATGAATGATTGCATTGTAAGTTACAATAAATAGTAGCTCTTGATGGCTTCAAAATTAGAATGAAACTTTAGTTATTGTAGCATAGCTAATGCTCGACCATGTTTACTCTCAATGTGTACACCCCCACATGCTCTCACCATATCTACTCTCTACGTGTACTAACCATGTGTACTATCCACATGTACAGTACTCACAATGTGTACTATCCACATGTAAACACTACTCACAATGTGTATTCTCCACATGTACCCACCATGTGTACACTCTACATGTACTCTCCATGTGTACTGTCCACATGTACTCACCATGTTTACTCTCCATGTGTGCTCTCCACATGTACTCACAATGTGTACTGTCCACATGTACTGTCCACATGTACTGTCCACATGTACTTACCACTTGTACTCATGTGAAATTTCCACATGTACTCACCATGTTTACTCTGCACATGGACTCTCCATGTGTACTCTCCACATGTACTCACCATGCGTGGTCTCCATGTGTACTCTCCATGTGTACTCTCCACATGTACTCACCATGTGGGCTCTCCATGTGTACTGTACTCACCACTTTGCATGAACTTACAATGTATATTCTTAAGGTCTACCTCCCATGTGTACCTCACAATAATATTCATTGCATTGGCAAATTGTGTCTATACCTGTCCAATGCGATAAAATGCCTCTGTCTAACCTTCCATTTGAAATTCCGCTGCGTACGTAGCCTGGCCAAACACTTTTCCCACAGGGCACTAGATTGAGTTCTTTATTTTAATAAGCTCTTTATTTATGGTTGATGTTTCAGGTCTTTGTCTTGAGAAGCGAGTGTTCTACCGTCTGATATCAGGCCTTCACAGCAGCATAAATATTCACCTGTGTGCAAAGTACTTATTGGCCGGTAATATAACTTGAGCGTTACTCTTTTTCTTTAATAAGTTGACATAATACATGGTGGTGAGAGATTGGGTTACACACATACAAGATTCATATTATTGTAATATTGCATTGTAAGCAATTCATTTTTCCCTTTAAAACATGTTGGATTTTAAATTATAAATACAATTGGGTTTAGAACAGTACATATTCAATCTGTAACTAAATGGGAAAGAAAGACTTTGATGTTTGAGATAAAATATTGTTTGTAAATGGAAAAGTAAAAAAAAAGGCATATAATCAATGTAATATACTCTTATTAATGAAGATTATTGTTCTTGTAAAAGCAATTAATATATTATCACTTGCTATGATATGGTTTCCTTATAGCTGGAGATGGAGCCTTTAAACAAGATGTATGGGGACCAAATCCGAAGGAATTCCAGCGTCGGTTTTCACCAGAGAAAACTGGAGGAGAAGGCCCATTAAGACTTAAGAACTTATATTTTACCTATCTAGTTGTTTTACGGGCCATTGCAAAAGCATCACCATATTTTAAACAAGAAACATTTTATACAGGTATTTTTATCTTAAAAAGACAGTTTAAAAATGTGACCAGCTCCTGCAAAACCAGACATTTGTAGGAAAATTCAATAGTGAGTTATTGGTAATATTAGATTCTGCATGAATTCTTCTTTATAACATGTGTTTATTTGATGGAAATTGGTTGAGTATTAGCAAAGTTATCAATACTTTAATTCATTGGGTATCAGCTATGTAGGTTTTGAGAAAACAGCTTCCAAAGATTCCAAAATCAATTGTTTATTATTTAGATTTGTCTTTTAAAAATAATTTTAATATGCTTTTCAGTTAGGCTTAGTGATTGATATATGCAGGAATGTTCTTCAATAGGCCTGTATCTTCTTTTATAAAATGCAAAAACATGAAATGTTCAAATTTCTGATTCTCGAACGTTTTGGCTGTTTGCAGGAAATTAGAAATTGCAACAAACAGAGGGTTTTGCTAGAGCCGGTCACAAACAATAATAATAATGATATTTTCATCTTTTTAAAAATTGTTTATTATCACAAATATGAGAATAGCTATAATCAGACTACATTTGATTAGCCTGCATGAAGTAGGGAAGTCCAAATTATCATTATAGAAGTGGTTTGGTGCAGTTGGTCAGAGGTTGGAGTTTTAATCACTCACTGTGCATTTGTACTTGTGTCCTTAAGCATTGCTTCTCTCCGCCGAGGAATATAAATAGGTTCTTATACCCTGTACAGACTATCAAATTTGATTTGACAAAAACGAATATTGTCATGACGACAACATCACATCATGACCATGTATAAGCACATCAATGCTATATATGGGCATACAATATTGTTTTGTCGATGTGACAAGAAAATGTGATAATTTTCGCAGGGCATTAGTGAGGTTGTCTGCTCCTATGCTGACTACTGCAGCAATACTTAAAACCCAATGGAAATATGTTTTTTTTATATATATATTATTATATATTGAAACTTTATAGGTTTACCTTAGGAATTATTGTCTGTTGGTCTTCAATATATATATATTTGCTCTTTGTTTTGTATTTAAGAAATTATTTGTGATTTTAATTCCTGAATAAAATGAAATAAAATGTGTACCCATCTCTAAAAAGAAAGGCGCTATATAAATAAGCAAATAAATAAAGAAATAAAATTATCATTATCATCATTTTATACTACCAAAATATTTGTGTCTGTCATTGATAATCTCTTATATAATTATTATTATTATTATTATTATTATTATTATGGGATAAAATTAGTCTGTCACATAGTTTTAATCTTCTAATCTTCATAGGTGTGGAAGCAAGAGACGTTGAAGTTAAAAATGTCGTTTTAAAAATCGCAATGCTAGCTGAAAAATTCCCAAACCATTTTAATGAGAGTGCAATGTTCACTGGAAAGGAAGCTCACAATCTTAAAGTAAGTTTTTTTTTATGAATCACATATAGTATTATTAAATTAAATATGGGTGGGTGTGGAACGAAATTATAATATTACTTAAATATTCTAATAGTTTCTTCTGGTCTGTTTATTATAGCTGTAGAATTCTTGTATCGATAATAAACCAAGCACAATGCAGTGACGGATTCAAAGGGAGGCCGAGCCGGCCCAGGCACCACCTAAATTTTTCAAAGTTATAGAAAAAAACGAAAATCATAATCAAATTTATTTCTGAGAGTGCCATTTCCAGCCGTCAGGAGGTGTAATAATAAGTTTTGCTTACTTCAGCCCCAACCATGTTGGGGCTGAGGTGGTTTACACTCTACATCTGTGAAAGTCCCTCCGGGCCTCCTCTATTTTGAATTTCTGGATCGGCCACTGTAATGGATTTAAACACAGCAAGCTTTCATCGTAGAAATCAACATGACCAATTCTGACAGGTAAAAAAAGCTGGCTCAAGAGGGCATTGTTCACACAGTGTCTGAAACAACGGATGTCAGCTCACATAGCCTGACGAAGTCATGTTGATAAAATGGATGAAAGCTTGCATTTTAAAGTTTACATCCATTTTGCTTAGTTTATTATCGATAAATCAGTTCTACAGCTTTAATAAATACTGTATATCAATAATAGTAAATTATAAAAAAGAGAAAAGAAAGTGCTTTTATTATTATTATTACTATTATCTTTATCCTTTGAGTTACAAAGGAAAATTACAGTGCTTTGTTTGTTGAAAAGAACTTGGGATTGGGAAATATAGGCAAGGGTTGTTGGGAGGAAAGGAAAGAAATGACAAGCCAAACACATAACAAAATGTAAACAATGAAATAGTTGAATTGATAAGAAATCTAAAATAAAGTGGAAAAAGAATTTAAAAAATTGAATGAGGAGGTAATTCAGATAAAAACTTGGTTGATATTTAAAAATATATAAAAAATAAATAAATAAAAATTAATTAAATAAATAAAATTAACCTGTTTTTTGTTTTGATTGCAAAAGATTTTCGTTCACTGTTTAAATTTTGTTCCGGCTTTTGCTTTTAATGTAAAGCGCATAGAGGTTTATAGCATTCTGTGCTATATAAAAATAGATTTATTATTATTATTATTATTATTGTTATTATTATTATTATTATTATTATTATTATTCCTTTTGAATAAGATATTACTATACTGAAACTGTCTTATAGAATATACAAGATATTCATCTTATCTTTGTATTATGATTTCGCTTTCAAAGGAGGAATTTAGGAAACACTTTTGGAATATATCTCGCATAATGGACTGTGTTGACTGTACCAAGTGTAGGCTATGGGGAAAATTACAGGTAATATTACACTAGTGGTTTGTGAATGAAATTTCTTTATTTTAATTTGAAGAAAGATATTATTGGAATTTATTGTTTTAGTTCATTATATCCATAAAATATTTCATACGTAGTGAATTGGCGCTGTATCTTTGTGCTTAATGTTTTTGCCATTCAAATTCTGAAAATTCCAGGAATTCTTTTCCAACTAAAAAATATGACTATACATCATAATGCATTAGAATACCCCCATTGCCATGTGTATTTGCCATTGGTAATTATTCTCTCACAGATAGAGTTTTATGCTTCATTTTCCAAATTTCAAATATTTTCATGTAATTGTAAATTTTAAACAATTTTCTTTATCAGATTCAAGGACTTGGCACAGCTCTGAAGATATTATTCTCAGAGAAAGAAATAGGAAAACCAGGAAGCTCATTTATGCTGAAAAGACATGAAATTGTAGCCCTCTTCAACGGGTTTGCAGCGTAAGTATTAACAAGTTCACACCTCATCACTGTTATTCTGGTCCTATTACACGGAATAGATTAGAAATGTTAACAAATATGAATAATATTAAATACAGTTCATCCTCCAATTTGAGACCACCTTTGGGACTTGAAAATTTGGGGTGGTCTCGGGGTTGGTCTCTAATTAGAGATCTAGCTTTGTGTTTAAAATATTGAAGATTGTTATTTGGGTCTTTGGAAATGTGGTCTCGAATTAGAGGGGTCTCGGATTTAGAGGGGTCTCGAATTGGAGGGTGCACTGTATGATTAATTTATAAACATTACAGTGGGAATGGTTTGGTTTCCCAACATCAAGGTCGGGGTTTCAATCCCTCTCTGTGCATTTTAATTGTGTCCTTGGGCAAGGCACCTTATCTGCATTGCTTCTCTCCAACCCAGGAGTATAAGTGGGTACCTGGTAAGGTTTTCAATGTCAAATGTGATGGTTAGCTGCTGCAATGTTAGGGAATACTCCCCAGGAGGGCTGGGTTTGTGTTCTAGGTGTTTAATCCAATAATCTGGGTAATAAATGAAGCGGATAGAGGCCTTAACATGAAGTCTACCATAATTTAGTCTCCCTCTAATCAAAGACCACTTTTTGTACCAGGTGTTTCCACGGGTCTTTAGCAACTTTTGGTCTCTAATTAGAATAATAAATATAAAAGACATTTCTTAATTTTGGACCATGGCAAAGTTGGAGGGGTCTGTATTATTATCCATAGTAGCTCTTGATTAATCTATGGTTTTTTTTTTGGTTTTTTTAAATTTGTTTTCAGATTATCCTATAGTGTAAACCAAATAGAAGAATTTAAGAAGTTAACAAGCAAGCCTACGACTGGAAGTAAAATACCTGTAAGCAACATGAACGGGTCTTGGTGATGATTTATTAACAACAACAATCATTTGAAAAGGACCAGTAATATGGATGCAAACCAATATCAAGTTTCAATTTTTCGTTATCTGAAAAGAAGTAACTGTAAGTCAAGGGAGGGTGGGGGTGGGGTGTATACTACCTGCGTTGTTATTTATGTATATTTAGATATTTTGATGTTCTCTTTTCTTAATGTGTATAGGAATACTATACATCGGTTTCATATAATTCCTTTCCAGTCTCATAAAGACATTTAAAATTGGATCAATTTGCCTGTAAAATGGTCAGTTAATTATTATATATTTTTTTAACTATTATTATGTTGATACTGTTTCTGCTTTTGCTGCTGATGTTTTTGCTGTTGTTAATATTGTTATTAGTGTTGATGTTAATATTATTATCTACTTTTAGTATGCTAATATTAATATATTTATTATAGTTATTATAGTTTATTATAGTTATTATAATTACATTTAATATTAGTTTTCATTTTAATTTTTTTGAAAAAAACAAAACAAGATATTACTAGTATGTTTGATCACAGCAAATGTTTACAAATCATTTGCTGTTATTGTAAAAATAAAAAATAATAATATTGTTATTATTGTTTAATTATCTGTTTAATTATTGTTAATACATATTTTAATGCTAATCATAAGTTTATGTTGCAATCTAGATTGAAATACGTACATAAGCCTAGCTTATGCAAGATTAATTCAACAGTACAAGTAATCAAATTAATATTAAATTTAATATTTTTAATTAATTTAATCACTATAAAAATAACTTTTTAAAAAAAGTTTCTGCTGTTTACTATGCATGTCCAGTATTATCTGTACTTAAATCAACCAAGCATTAATGAAATATGTCGTTATTTTTCTAAAATCTGTTCTATAGGTATTCTAGGTAATCAATAGCTTAGAAATATATTGAATGAAATTGTGTCTTAATGGTTGACCATGCCCATTAGAAGCATGTTGCTACAACAATTTGGGCTTTCAATTGAAAGGGTGATAATTTGAATTTAAAAGCTCTTAATGCACAGTGCTTGGGCAAGCCACTTTGTTACATATCACACACAGTAGTGGTTAGTGGTGGTTCTGACAGGGGGTTAAACATGCCTGACAATGTGTAACAAACCAAGAATCTACTGCTTCTGGTGAAGATCCCACAGTAAAGCTATTGGTAATAGAGAATTGAATTTCATGGTTTTAGTTTAGGCATGCAGGAAATTCTTAATATATTTCCTCCATGGTTTAGGGTGTTAACAATTTTTAGACCGCAGTATTAGGAATTGAAATGACGATAAACTTTGGTTGTATTGGCAAATTAATATTTTTAGTCTATTGGTCACAAGAATCGGCCAGTGACAGGGTTCAATGCTTACCCACTTTCTACTGCCACATTCACTGGCATTGGTACCTGGTAAAGTCACTTAGTCTTAGTTTAGTAATCAGGAATTTTATGGTGGACTCCTGGAAAGCCCAGGGCAGCTGCAGTGCGGCACCACTGCTTGTGCTTAATTGTCCAGTGCACTGGGAGACGATCCCTGCTTTTTTCCAAAGAGTGTATTATGCCTGTACTGGTACATAGGATGTAAATTGTGAAGTTAAAATTGTCTCATGACTAGGAATAGTTGGTTTTTGTTTATGCATCAAATGTTCAATGTTCAATGTTTATTTTCCACAATTCAACAATTCAATAACATTATGCATATAATAATATAATATAATATACAGATATAATAAATCATCAAAGAGTTGGAATTGATTTGTGGAGGAGGCTATATAAGCTGATTAGATTTGTCTGATCAGCTTTAAGCCATAGGCCCCTTACATGACAAAAGTTCCAAATTTAAGAGAAGCCACTTCCAGGAGGTTAGGTTAAATGAGCTTTATTAACAAATGTAGTTTTATTTTGCTGCTTGTAGTTACTGCAAGGAGATGATTGATAATAAGGTAGTGAAAACATGTAAACATGAATTGTGTAGTTTCCATAGTATTTTTGTAATGCTTGCTGGAGTGCCAGGAGATTTCTGCAGTAGTAATAAGGCATTGTGAAATAGATATACTGTAATGGAGTGAAGGTGTGGATTGTTGTGGCTTACTATCCAATACTAGAGGATTTTAAGTTCAACTCCACATGGGCAGATCCAGAATTTTTTAAATGGGGGAGAGGGCCACAACAGTTTCAGAATAGATAAGTGAGTAGCACATACCATTGATATGCATTTAAATTTTAAACATTTTTGTGGCAAAACAGTGAGGGGGAACATGCCCCTAGCACCTTACTGGATCTGCCCCCTGCCTCATGAGATTTTGATTATATAGCATCACTTCTATCCCATATGTGCCGAGCCACTTGTCATTGAATGACAATGAGAAAAAATATAAAGAATATAGTTATATAAGAACTAAGTACAGTAGTATTATTTTATGCAGTATATTATTTTAATGAACTTTGTTCTTGTTATTTTAATGTTCCTACTTTTAAAAACTAAGACTTATGAGCAAAAAATGGAGCATGTCAAACCAACACACCCAAAATAGGGTTTGTGATTAAACATAAGAATAAAGTTTATGTCAACTTTTCATAAATTTTTGATTAAATTAATAGTTTATTTGAAATTGAATTGGTGGTGAATTTTTTTTATTTTTGTGTTTCATTGTTCATCCATTATGTATACAGGTCTCCCTCTAATTAGGACCCCTCTAATTAAAGACCACTTTTCTGTGGTTGTAAATTATGAACTGTCTTTTATATTTATTATTCTAAAGAGACCAAAGTTGCTACAGACCATGGAAACACCTGGTCCCAAAAGTAGTCTTTAATTGGAGGGGAACCTGTATTTAATTAAACCAACTGACACACATGAGCATTCAGAGATTATCATTGTCGGTGCTATAGCTGATATTGCTGCTATGGCTGCTGTTATATTATACAGTATCATCATCACTATATTATTTTCAATACTGAAGTTTTTCTTATACAGTTCAACATCAATAAAAAAGAAATAATCTCAATCAATTAAATAAGAGTAAATTAAGTTTTTGTATTGAATTTTCCTAAGTTTTTCTTATACAGTTCAAGATACACAAAACATTACTGGCATTTTTATTTTAAGGATACGCTAACTGGTGAAATTCAGAAAAACTGAATTTATGCTATGTTAATTTATTACCAGGACTCTTTAACATATGCAGGCTCCAGGCTCTGTGGGAGAACAGATATCCTGCTGAACAGGTTCCCCAGTATAAAGAAAGAATACAACTACTACTACTTTATTTTTAATTAATAAGTTATAATTACAAACAGTACAGTATCTCTCGCACCTAATCAAAATGAAAATGTACATCCTCGAATCTAGAATATAACTAGCTATTTTCATACCTTCTACTATTAAATGACATTAGTCTTTTTTTTTTTTAAATTAAAATACAAAATTAAATAATGTGAGGAAAAGCAGGTAAACCTGACTACAATAATATTAACGTTAACGATATTATAACGATTATATCGTTATTTATTATTTTTGCCGAGATTTTTCAGAAAACTTGACCCGAGGTGGATGGGTCACGGCTGAGTCATAAATATTTGGATTTGGGTTGGGGCTAAAAAGTTTGCGGAATGGGGCACTACATCAATAAAAAAGAAATAATCTCAATCAATTAAGAGTAAATTAAGTTTTTGTATTGAATTTTCCTAACTACTTATAAGATCTCAGATTTATAAACTTCATGCTGTAACATTTTTACAATACAACCAGGCCTATACCATAAAACCTCGAATTGAAGCCCAGTGGGCTTAATCTCGAGATAACGCCCATCTCGAATTGAAGCCCCCTTCTTTAACATGGACTTCTTTTCAAGATAGCATAGGCTTATTTTCGATATAGTAGAGTACATACACTGTACATAAATTTCAGAAAACAAAATAAATTAAATACAAGCTTGGTTTATAAAGTAGTTTAGGTGATTTAATGCCAGTGAAATACACTACATGATATACAGATTGATGTTACAGTGGCCTTATTTATTGTTTTATAATACAAATTCACAAAATTTACAGCATTCATTTTGAAAAGAAGCCCCCCCCCCCAACTTACTTTGCAAAAGTAGTCTAGAAAAGAAGCCCATCTCGAAAAGAAGCCCATTTCAAAAAAGCCCATCAAAAGTTCGCAAAAAATACAGAAGCAGCCCAGGGTTTCAATTCGAGGTTTTACAGTATCAATAAAAAAAAAAAATATCAGGTCAAACAATAATGATAAAAAAGCAATATCAAGAATTGCGTTTCTCTACTAAAAAATACCAAATTTTAAACTTCAGGCTTAATAATAAGAAGATAAGAAACGTTGATGTCTAATAGGCCTACATATGATTAATATATTATTGATTTGTTATTTTGTAATACTGTTAAAACTCAATACTATTTTTCGCTGTTTGCCGGTGTGGACCATGTGCTTTTGTTTACATTTGAGGTCACCAACCTATGACCTGAGAGCGTAAACAACAATCGTATGCTTAAAATTTCGCGCGGTTGTTCGTCGAGTGTTAAGGCAAAGGAAAAAGTTTTGAACGCTGATATCATGTCTGTATACATTGATTCTAAAAGATTTGCGGAATTACCGACTACTGATATTCAAATTCTTCCATGTGAAATTTGCTGTGATGGGGATGCAAGCGTTTCCACTCATCTAAAATTAACTTCTGGCCCGCCATCTATCTGCTACGTCAACAACACCACTGGAGCCGTGACAACTACTCACGCGATCACATCCCCTTCAAGGCCTAGCGAAAGTTACAGTAGTAAGTAGGCTTAGGGCCTAGACCCACCTTGTCTAAATGTATACAAATACAACTATTTGGTCATTAGTCAGTAGATACTTGTTGATAGAGTAGAAAAAAAAAACATTGCCAACCTCTGGTTGTATTTCAAATCACGTAATTCAGGAACCAGTTTGGTCGCTCTTCTTTTTAAACCTTTTCCATAATCTCTAGGCCCTAGGCCTATATCCTTTTTTAATAGAGGCCTGGGGCCTTAATCCCTAGACCCTAGTAATAATTTATTAACTCAGTGACTTAGGGACAGTGTAAAAAGGGCGCATTCATAGGCCATTTAGTTTGGAACATGACATGCTAGGTCACAATTAGACTGTGATTTAAAGGCTTAAAGAATTTGTTTAATAGTATACTCTACGACGCGTCTATCTCCAATACAAACCTATCGCGTCAGTGTTTAATGAACTCCCGCAGACCCATGTGCATAAAATGATTTGCATAGTGATTTCAATAATAATTTGCATATTGATTTTATTTTTTTGATATTAGGTTCATCATTTAGAGGCCGACCTCTGTGTGGAAAAAGTACTGAAGTTCCAGAAGGCTTTGCAGGTATTTAAACAGCTTGCAACAACTGGAATTTTGTTTTAAATACATAAAATAATTCAAAAATATGTGTTCCTATTCAGTAATTTATTGTGTTGAACATTTTTTTTCCCAGGTGTTGTCTTGAAGGAATCATGTAAGCCATTTTCAGAGGATGAGGTATGACGTTTTACTGTATTGTCATTGCAATTATTATTGTTATTGGTTTTTCCAAAATTATTACAATACTGTACAGTATTATTGTTATTATATTATCTTCAGATTTTAAATCAATGTTTAGGATATTTTGAAAGGTAAGCCTGTGTAATACTGTAGTCTGAAATGAGTGGGCTAAGGCAATGTGTTTCCCCTTGGATCTGTCTAGAAATCACACATATCATCTTTTTTAATGCATAATGGATGGTACATTTTATTTTGTTTAGGATCGAGTTGTAAGTGTTGAGAAGAAGTTTGATAGCTTGATGTACTGGAAACTGGATGGTGAGCCCTCTAACAACGATGTGTTCATTAAGGCTTTGGACTGGATTGCTATAGCTGAAGCTGTGAGTGAAATTAATTAATATATTTATTTTGTCATTTAAATAAGACTAAATAAATAAAATAAAATTATTGTGTAGGCCATGCCCGACCGATCCAAGATGTTAGAAATTGAGGGTCTGCATTTTATTTATTTTTTTTCTCGAATATAATGAAAAATATTTTTTAATGAGCTAAAAAGGCTAGAATAGGCCTGGAATTGCGATGGTAGGCAATGCAACAGTGTTATGCAACCGTTTTGCTCTTCAATATAGATTGATCAATGATCTTTGTTGTATTTTTGTGTATTTTCTGTTTTAGGCATAAACACATTGGTAAAAAAAAATAAACTTTTCCTACCGACCTACGCATTAAGTAATTACTATAGTAATAATAATAAGCCCGAGTTGCTAAACTTGTCATGTTTCCACAAATCTAAAAACTGACTGAAATAACTTTTTTATATTTCAAAAGATTCATTCTGATGTTGGAGCAGAAGACCCAGAAACGCCGTCAAGTGTTGATGGCCTTAGGTGAAAGCTAAACAATTATAGCAAAATTCTGTTACATGAGGAACCAACAATAATACAGATTCATATCTGTTTGCTGCCCTCAACACCAACTGGTCATGTAATGTAGTTGGATTTATATAGCGCTATCAAAGCCTCAATGCGCTTGAGGTGTGGCATAGCTCCTACAGTATACTTTTGTATAATAGGTTGAATTGGCATGGAAACTTTCGTCATACTTTGTAGCATGGTCTGCTAGTTAATATCAACTGGATATTATTAAAAAAGAAAAATTGCATATTTGACAGGATCAAATAATTTATCAACCTCTAATGATATATCAAAAGAATTCCAATTTTTTTCAGATTTGCAGTATATAAATAAACAATCCATAGATTCACTGCCATTCAATTTACAGCTCTATGTAAAACATATAGTAATGGTATTATTTTTGTATCTTTAATGTCATGGAAATTAGTTTTCAACTAAAAGCTAATGTATAGTACAAAGTAAATCAAATATTGAATTGTAGTTTTCAAGTTGATTATGTGTAATTTATGAGGTCAGTCAACAAAACAAGTTTATACAGACAAAGATTTCTGTGCAGTATTTTGTATTCTGTATTCACTTAAAATACTTCACATCTTTATATTACAAAACAAAGTAATACTGTATACACAAGTGTATTTTCCTATTAAATAATTATATTCCTCAAAAATGCCTCAATATTTACTGTGTGGCCTATAAACTAGTTGTTTAACTCTTCCACAGGAATTCCAGCCACTGAGTGTAAAATATTCTCCAATCCTTAACAATCCAACAGTTACAAGTAAAGAGGAGGCAGGCACATGAAAAAAAAATTTTTGCAAAAATTTCTTACAGATCATGGATCTTGAAAAGAAACCCATCTCGAAAAGAAGCCCATCCAAAGTTTGCAAAAAAAAAAAAAAAAAAAAAATGAAGCCCAGGGCTTCTATTCGAGGTTTTATAGTATCTTGACATGCAACAGTGCAGTACATCATCGTTACTTATCATCCGATCAGATTTAGGCTAGAAATTCAAGGGGAGTGTAAACATTATCTCCTACATGCTCGGCAATCTCTTGATTTCCTGCAAAGAATAACATTAAAGATTGACTTTATCCACCGTACAATATAGGAAAACATCCTCTCTATTTGCAACAAAACTACCAATCACAGAGACACAGCTCAGTAGCTGAGGATGTTTAATTTCAACAGACCAAGTAGATGAATGAAGCAAGCAAACTTACTTGCATATTGTTCATCTTTGTTTCTTCTCCAGCTTGGCTTTTCATTTTCATCCACCTTTAACGGTTTTTGGAAGGCATCTTTATTGGACTTGTATTTCACAAACGCTATTCCAAAAATAGACCAAACTGAGGCAGCATATATTATGGCGAGTCGTTTCTTCAATAGTTGTGGATCTTTCCTTGAGAAAAAGTTTCGAATTTGTCTGATAACCATGTTTTATGAGAGCACTGGATGTCAACCTGGCCTAGAAATTATCTGTTGAAGGCCTAGAAATTTACTGTTGAAAAAAATACAGTATTATGTACCATATTACACTTCTATTACTGAGGATGCACTCTGCACACACAGAACATACACTAAAGAAATGTTATAAATAGGATTAGGATTCCTGAAATCAAGTTGTTCCATGTGAGGTTTTAATAATCAACAACAATATTTTACAATTCTCACTATAGTATAATAAATAAATTTATATTAATATCATTTTAATCCAATTGTACTATCATTAGCAAATCAAAAGGTCATGGTTCAACACAGCTTCTATTTATAAGTTACAAATTGGCCAAAGTTGCAGTACTGTAATGTATATGTTGAGTCACTTAACCACTAAAAAGGTCCAGCAGTGCGTCAGAATGAAAATTGGACCTATAAAGAAATTTAAGCCCAGGATTCCATCCGCCAAAGTAGTAAAATCACTTTATTTGCCAATACATTAAAATTTCATCAGTAAAATTATAAATTTTTTTTTTTTTCATACAAAATATAAACAAAAGTGGCAAAGAAAGAAGCAGAACAGAAACCCTAGGTCTTGCCTTTAAAATGGGACAAGCAATGGAATAATAGGCCTAGTCATCTAAAATACCCCCCAGTCCCAGCAAGGCCCTACAGTACTATGGGCCTAGGGCCTAACATCCTAGCCTAGGCTAGACTTTATAAGTTTTTTAGTCTCTATTTATTTTCTGTGTCAAAAAATGTTTTGACCTTGACCAACTTACACTTTGGCATACAACCACCTACCCTCTAGCAGCCCACAGAGAAAATAGTATGTACTCTATGAGCAGCCTAGCCAAGGCCTTATAAGCCTAGTTTATGGACGCCGGGCAAGAAGTGCGGTCACAGACAACAACGCAGACCTGGCTTGCCAAACGGCTCTAGCCTAGTACTAGTACTATAGGCCTAGCCTAGCTAGGTCACTAGTACTAGTAGCTAGGCCAGGGCCTAATACCCAACTTAGTACTGCATGCTGGATGGGTGGTGGTACAAACAATTGTAAGTAAGCTGCGACTTTCTATAAAAAAATATTTAAAAAAAAAAGATTTTAACCCTGCTTACTTGCTACATTTTCTAGGCCCTAGCAAAGAACTTAAATAGCAGAAGAATGAGCTGCTCCGCGTATTTGCATTAAAATCTATGGAACATTCGCCCTCCTGCGGTTGCAGTAAAATTTGAACATTTTACTAAGTGGAGAAACTAAAGGAAACAAGCAAACAAGAGCAGCGCCTTTATTATTTTTATATAGCGCCGTCGTGCGGTTGCAGTAAAATTGCTCTCCTTGCACCCACAATGCCTTTTTAACGGATGTTCCACTATTGGGAAGCTGCTCTATCTTCTGCTATTTATTATCTTTATAGCTGCACTGCGCAGTGTATTTCCTCGGTCGTCTCTCTGAAGGTAAATAAACTGTACACGCGATTGAATGATGACGCATTGAAGAAATGTGTAAACGCGTCGCGCTGGCTAGCTGTTTACGTGTAGTTTTTGGGAAGGGAAGAAGTTGCTTAGCCTGAAGAATAAAGGAAAGTATTCATAAATAAACCTACTAGGCCTAGGCTAGTTCAAGTACTAAAAGGCATAATGAGTCAATATGATGGCTATACGTCGCCGGAGTACAACGACGATCAGAGTTTTAGGGCCGAGAAGCAAAATGAGTTCGAATACATAAATCCAGCTTCATCTAGGCCTAGCCAGCAAGTTGGCGATTACGACCAAGGGAACAGCAGTACGTATCGTCACCCTGGAGCCTGGCTCTGGGTCTCCTTGAAGTTCATTCATTCATTTGTCACATACTGATACTCACTCAGACTCTGCTCTATATGTAAACATAGTACATTTTAACAAAAACATTAATTTTTATTTTTTTCTTAAACTATGATTAATCAAGGTGAGGTATTTATACCTCCTTGTTTGTATTATTATAGTACAGTAATAATTTAGTAGTAGGGGCCTATTTTTTTTTTTTTTTACACTGTGGTTATTGACCGGAACCCAACGGCCCAGCGTAGAAGTCTGACACACTCCCTGCCCACTTTACACATTAACATGCTGCTAAACATTTTCCTTAATTGTATTAATACTGTTATTAACAAATGGCGTAAATATTTGTCTAAATGGTGTTTTTTTTTTAGTGTCAGGATCATTTGATACAAAAGTAGACCTTGGTGACATGGACTACGATGAAGGTCAAGGGCAAACACCTACTGCAAGAAAGAGAAAGGGTGCCACAAGTTTCCTCCAGAAAAAAGATTATGGCTGGCTTTTGGAAGTTGATGACGACGATGATGATAACGAAACACCTCTTTTGTAAGAACAATTGTTCTTCATATCGTAGTATATTTTTTATTGAATCTTGTTAAACATTTTTTTTTGCTATTGAAAATTTAAAAGTGTATATTTTACTTGCTATAACATGAATTTGGTATTCTTAATCACCATTGTCATCATCCTTATCGTCGTTATCATCAGGCTTCATTATGAATCATTATCACCATCATTATCATCACATCCTAATCTTTATCATTGCCATCATTGATGTAATTATAATTTTTAACCTGAGCTACATAAATTATTCAGTTATTACAGTATTACGGTATTGTTTTTATAATATATTTTTATGATTTTATCTTTTATTATTGTTATTACCTTTATTATCATGTGTTTATCTTGGGCTTTGATTCCTAATAAGATTATACCCAATTTCCATCCTTCTCTTTAAAAAAAACCATCAAGAATCATTGTATTTATTTAGTCCTGTAACAAATGCAGAGGTTACACAACGGATTACACTGACATTGGGCAAATGGACAATTTACTTACTTTTCAAGACCAGAAAACTCAAATGGTTTGAACATACAGTATCCACAGGCAGAGTGGCACTTTGATCTTGCAGGGCTGTGTAATTGGCAAACAGAAGTAGGGAAGACCAAGGGAAAACTCTGGACAAACAATATCACTTAATGGTGCTGTGGAAGTTGGAAGGGCAACTAAAAACAGACAAAAATGGATGTAAATTGTGAAAGTGGCTAGCTAACAGGTTATGGGACTGAAACTGATGATAATAATCATCAGTCCGAAACCCACTACAGATTACAGATTAGTCTAATTTTGTATTTTGATTTATTGTAGGGAGGAGCTTGATATTGATCTGAAAGACATATATTACAAGATTCGCTGTGTCATATTCCCGTGTTCATTCTTGGGCTTTAAGCGTCAGATAGTGAGAGATAGCCCTGATTTCTGGGGGCCACTTCTTGTGGTGCTCTGTTTCTCGCTCATCTCAGTGTATGGACAGTTTAGGGTGAGTGTTAATTGTTTGTTTCAGGATGTTAGAAATTACCATCTTTATAATCATCATAATGATCATTAAAATATCAACATTATTATTACTGAAGTTAGACTGTCTCAATCTTATTTTACATGCTAAATTGTTGTGCAATACCGTATCTGTAAATCAAACTTTATTGAACAATTTTTTAATGCCATTTTGGATTCAACTTTATAGGCAAGTTCGATTGTATATTATTATTACTATTGTTATTTTTATTATTTACGCAATTGTTACCCGTTGCGATTGGGTGCTACAATCTTTATTACTCCCGATTACCACGGAATCCGATCGCAACGAATCACAACGAATTCCACAGGCACTGTTTGGCTGAGGTCACTCAACATAGGCCTAGCCACCGGAGGCCTAGGCCCTAGAATGTAAAATTAGTTTGTGTTGGTCTGAATGCGTTCTTTGATTGCGATCGGGAGTAATCAGTTTTGGATTACCACCGATTACATCGCAACCGATCGCAACAGAGTGTAGTCTGAATAGGGTATTATTTTACATGCTAAATTGTTGTGCAATACCGTATCTGTAAATCAAACTTTATTGAACAATTTTTTAATGCCATTTTGGATTCAACTTTATAGGCAAGTTCGATTGTATATTATTATTACTATTGTTATTTTTATTATTTACATTGTTATTATATTATTATTTATTAGTATTAATCTATATTATTATTACATTAGTAATAGTAATACTGCAACTATTATTACTCAGCTGTAATAAATGCAACATAACTAAACACAACAGATGGCATCATTTACATATCAAGACTTGCCAACTGGCTTGCCACACGATATAAAAATACTCATTGAAGTTCAACAAGTGCTCTCATATCTAGACATGCCCTTCAGCACGGCCTCATGGCCCCTGCCCTGCAGCAGTAAACCTGTCCTCTTGCTCACAACCACACATTAGTTTATGCCCGCTGGCTGCTAGAATCCATCTAGTGCCATCATTTATATCTAGCCGCACCCACCATCTTTTAGCATACAATACACACCTCTAATTAACTGCAGAAATGTAATATTAACAGATTTTAAATATAGACAATATATTAACATAGGATCATTGTATTAAACTTAATTTTGATTGTAATTAGGTTGTATCTTGGATTATAACTATTTGGATCACTGGATCTTTAATTATATTTCTTCTGGCAAGAGTACTTGGAGGCGAGGTACGTTACTGCAATTCCTCATTTCAATTAGCTTTAACATTGCATTACAAACTTTAATTCGTTAAATTTCAACCGAGAAGGTATGATAATCTAAAGTCAACCCAAGGTGAATGTCTAGGTTTGGAGTGATTCTAAACAAGGTTTAATAAACCTCCGGGGTATGTATTATTGAGAAGCGTTTCTTGAGGGGGGCGTTTATTTGAGGAAGGCATCTGTTCGAGGAAGGCATCTTTTTTTGTGTGTGTGTGTGTGTGTGTGTAAAATGGATACATGTTTACTCAAATAAACTCCCCTGAATTTCACTGTAAATGTGAAACTACAACACATAATTACATCAAAATGTGTTATTGCATGATCATAAGACTTATTGATCCCAACCAGGTTAAAAAAAATGTAATTTTACTGGAGTAGAACATTAATAAAATGTGTTGAGAATGTTGCTGCTTCCATTAGTTCCATTGTTGCTTGTTTAGTCATTTAATTGAGGAAAAAATAAAAGCCTTTTGGTATTTATTTGAGGGATTATTATTTATTATAATTATTCGAAGGGGGAATTTATTCAAAGTGGCACGTTTATTCAAATAAATATGGTATCATGTACTTAAAGCTATTACTGTATATTTCAGGTGAACTATTCGCAGTGCCTTGGTGTCATTGGTTACTCACTGTTACCCATGATCTTCACTGGTTCCTTGTTACCATTCATATCATCTTTACATTACTTGGCCTTATTTGTCAAGGTATGTATAATTTCCATATCATAGAATAATATACAGTATGTGGTTTTTTAAAAATATTTTGAACCAGTTATGACAGAAGAATGTTTGGGAACATCCCAATAAGAATAAGGGGACATTCTATAAAGAGACACTTAAGTTATATCACAGTGATAATATTTATGCGGTTTCATACATTTAAAACCAGTTACAATACAGTAGAAACTTTGGGACACGCCAAAAGGAGACGCCCTATTAAGTTACAATTTTTTGGTCACAAATGCCCACCCAGATGATAGTACAATTAAAAACACATAAAATATAATGTAACTGTGCTCTCTCTGCCACACATTATACAGTTTCTTTTTTTAATTGCTGTCTGGCTTTAAATTTGCTTCTTTCATCAATTTACAATAATATTTTAAATAAGTACTGAAGTTTCAGGAATCGAAGGTTTTCTCTAACCATTATTAACTATTTTTTTTACTACTACAGTTCTTTGGTGTTGCTTGGTCATCGTACAGTGCTGGGTGTCTGCTGGTTCAGGATGAATTGAAAAACAGGAAACCCCTTCTTCTCTATCCCATCCTGTTATTGTACATATACTTTTTATCTTTATTTACTGGTGCATAAATAGGGATAATTACTGTATATAATTATTTAATTTTATTGGAATATTTTATTTGGTAGAAAATCCTGGAAAACAGTGTAACAAATATATAAAAAATATGAAAATGCCTATCAATATAATATAGATTCTTGTTTGAAAAAAATATATAATTATCTGAAAAAAAACTGTGTCAATAAACATGTTAATTTATGTGATGATGTGAACCTATAGCTTATATCAGGTACCTAAAATGTGGGATTTGATTTGGTGACTGGTGTAAAGCACACATAACATGGTTTTTAATGACTAGCTATGGTATAGAATTATAGGACCATCAGCATTTTCTCGAGTCTGTACTAAATTCACTGAAAATAGATTCTTTATAAAAATTATTATACAGTAATACAAATTAAGTATTCATATTTTTATATTGTGCAACTGATTATGAACTGAGTACGACTTAATGTATATATTCAGCTCTTTAATTTCAATTTTGGTTTTAAAAGGGAACTAGAAAGATAGAATCAACTTTAAAATCGTTTTTTTGGCAATTTGTAATATAGCACAATCTTTGGTTACAGTAGCTTACACTGACGTCACGTTGCTAAAAGGGGCAAATCATAATGGATAACTAGTCTATTATTAGTGGCATCAAAAATCCCCTCTAGAAAAAAAAATCATCTTTCTAGTTCATTTTTTAAATGTTTGAATGCAGTTAGAAGTTATGTGGTGTGCTGCAGCGGTAAAGTTTAGTCCGCATAAAAAAAAAAACTGTTGTATGGCCATATATAGTCATGGTGTGCCTATATATGGCAATGATGTGATGTCATGACCATATTTAGGCATGTCACATGTTTTTGACAAATAAAACTCTTCACTCAAGAGTTATGATGTAGGTGATTGATAGAGCTGAATTAAACCCCATGTATTGGAATCTGCACTTTGTGTACGATTGTATTGCATCTACAGGTCAGAGAAATTAAGTGCCTTGAGCAATAATTTCTGAAATGCATATTTGCACTATATAAATCCTCTGTAAAACATAATATAGAAAAGCTGATCAGTGTGTATGTTTCAAAAAGTAAAATGTTGTCAATTTTTTATAAATCATTTTGGAGTGAATTCAAGCTTTGATGTTCAGCTTTAACATATGAACTTAAGGCATACATTATTTTAATCTAGACACGAGACATGAATATGATCATGGTCTACCACACATAGACACCTGATTAGCTCCTGTAAGTAGTGTTAATATTTTGTAGATTATCTCTCAATTATATTTTAGTATCTGTAAAAAATATGTACAGACCCACACACCATTACACAAATCCGCCAAGACTTCAGTTTTTATAATTGGATGATTTTAAAGCTATGAGAGTTGCCTCCCCCAGTATGCTGAAAAAAGGCCTTGGACAATTGATTATAGAAGAATGTGTAACACTGTAAACCAGTTTATCTTGTACAATAATATTTATTATATAAACAAGAACTGTTGCCTTGTTCTTGTTAAACAAGTGCATTCTTAACCATCGATCGTTTTGTCAATAAATATAACAAACTGAAGTGAAGTCTCATTACTGTATTTTTGAAGTCTACATTTAAAAAAAATGCAAAAAAATGCAATACAACAATGTTAGCAAAGCTGTATATAATACAAGAGAACAAACATTTTGTTGTGCAATTTGGCACAATATAAATGCTAGTAAGTAATTAAAATAAAATAATGGAAAAGAATCAAAATAAATGTAACAGACAGTACTGTATATCTTTTATTAATCCACATCCAACAGATGTATCCAACAGGTAAACTTAGCATTCAAACTTAAGTGGTTTTACCACCGAAGTCGGCATGGAGTGTACAGCCCACTTATGCAGCACAGTACTAAGATCTGTGATCAGAATTAGGAAAGACCAGGTCTAGAGAGTCACAATATTTTTTTCATATTTACAGACCACTCAATCTACAAATAAAATAAATAAATCTGCCTGTTTAGAAACTTTCATTTAAAGGGCCAGTAAGTGGCAGCCCCACCTGTTCATATGGTAAAGATAGGTTCAAATTTCGTCTTGTCCACATTTATGCTATAGTTTTTCAATCAGAAGTTTATACAGTAGTTGTGCACTTAGATGACCAACTACTGGAGTATAAAAGCTATTTTCAAAAATCTATTACATTGGAGTTGGCACTTTAGTACATAATGTTAATGGGGGACTATAAACTACATCTTCTTTCTAGTCACCTAAAGTGGAAAAATAATGCATATGAAATTAAACACACTACTGTAATTATTAAGTGTACTACAAATTTTCAGTGGAACTCAATTTACCCTACATTTGTTAGGCCAAGATTAGGCAGCTTTTGATTTGCACAATGACTGTAGGATATAGAACGTAATGACGTCACTACAAAGTCATCTACATATGTGAGGACGTTGGGTCTGGATTCTAGGATGCAGTTTGGCACAAATCTATGTTGCGCAGAGAATGTAGGACAATCACCTATTAGTGAATTCGTTCTAAGGTTACGTTGTCGCGCTGATCAAAATCTCTTATTAGCAGAGTACTATTCCATCCCCAAAAGTACAAAGATACTCAATCTAAGTATTGAAATTAAGATCAGGAGGTATACCTTACAAATATGCATTATTTTTCCACTAATATCAAGCTTGCTGTATTTTATACTTGTAAAATGTGTTAAAAATTAGAAAATATATCTGGTACCAACCAATACAGAGAAATGCAATTTATTTATACATTTGAGCATAAATAAGTCCTATATCCAACTTATAATTAATATCTTTCTTGCAACCGAACAATAAACACAGAAGGTGGAAACTATCATATGAACACTTGTTCTGATGCAAAGCTGTCTGTGAATGGAAATACTATATAACTTGTTGAAAAGTAGAAAATAAGTCCAAAGGTGATGGATATTGGAAGGGCAGGCAAAGCCTTCTTGAAAATGGCCAGCAAAATCAGAGTCAGACATAAACCCTGCAAGATAAAAACAGATTTTGAAATATAAAACAATGAAGGATTGTTCTTTATAATTATAAATACATCAGACTTAATTTAGTAAATATTTCCTTCACCACAACAACAATTTAGTATAAAAATAAAAAGCCAAATAAACAACAATCATTATTTTAAAGCCATACTACCATTTAAATTTTTTAAATAAGACATTTAACAAAAACTAAAAATTAGAAGGGATAAAATATCTCCTTCAATTATTATTGGATATTTAAAATAATACCATTTCTATAGTATTGGCATATAACCACACATTTCTAGCAACAAATATCAGAATTTTCATATTTAAATATCTGTAAACCATTGAAAACTTGGTTTCCCTAACTTACTGAAATATAATACAATTATCATCGTATCAATGCTGCAATTAGTAAAATACTCAAAACAGTGGCGGTATCAAGGGGGAGGGAGAGACAGCTGGCCCAAGGGCACCACCGCCCCCTCCCCCCCCCCAATTAAAAAAAAATAAATGGAACAAATAGAAAATTATATTCAAATTTAAGTCTGAAAGTGCCATTTTCGGGACATCTAGGTGACAGAATCATAAACTTTCTTAACTCAGCCCAACCACAGTGGGGCTGAGGTGAACTAGACCCTCCATTTTTGTCCCTTCCTTGGCCCCCTCTATTTCGATGTCCTGGATCCGCCACTGAAAAGGTTTTTCGGTTTGCAAAATAATACTCTCAGAAAGATAACTTTAAATAAATTGATAATTAAATTAATAGAACTTACAATAAGAATAGCGACAAAGCAAGCGATGGTTGTGGTCCAGTCACCAGTAACCGATGCTTTTCCTACTAACACACTGTAGAAAATGAAATCTCCCAAACCAAGCTTCACACCTCCTATAAAAAAAAATACAAAAAAACAATTAGCATACAAATGCTCTCTCTCTCTCTCTGCAGTTCTCTATCATTTTGTATTTTACAATGTTTGTACTGCTAAAGAAATATAATAAAAAATAAAATACCAACAGTATCTAGTTATATGATGGAAAAAGAATCTTTTTATATCAAGAAATATCAACAGAATTGGAATCTTTTTTTAAATTGAAATATGGGTAATATAATTTTAAAAAAATATGAAAAGAAAGCTAGGCCCCTCTCTATCAAAAACTTACTTTCTTCTTCATCATCCAAATGTGGGTTAGATGTCTGCTGTTCCTGATCAGATGTTTGACGTAGGGCATTAACTGCCGCCCTAGCATCCTCAGAGTTTGTAGATCCCCTGCTGTTACTAAGCTCAGCGTTCTGCCTGTCTTGCCATTCATCGTCAAATCCCCCATCATTCTCTTCCTCTTCCTCATTTGTGTCCATGTTGCCTATAAGGTTAATATCTGTTTAAAAAGCAGAGTGCATGTTGTGTTTGAACAAGAACGCAAGCAAATGCATGCCAAGTAAAGTAAACAGCATTAACAACATTAGTAGCACTGCCGCTAGGGTTTAATCTCAGTTCTATTTACCCCCAGATTGATGTACACATTAATAACAATTAAATAAATATATTACAGTAATAATTTTACTGTAATTTTTATGTATTATTTATAATAATATATTAAAGTATTTTTTGATTGAGTGTATGTCCAAATATAATAATTATTTTTGCTGTATGGTTTTATTTATGTTAATTTTACAGTTATTTTAATGTTTTATGTACAATATAGTAAATACATTAAAAAGTATATTTTGAACGAGTACATTGCAAGAACTATATCCAATAATAATTATTATTTTTGCTGTAATTTTGTGGTTTTATTTACACTAATTATATATTTAAATAACTTTTAAAGAAATTCATTTCAATGCAACCTCAGAAGATTAGTAAAAAATATGGTATTTTTCTTTTTTGATTTTTATGAATTTTAGCGTACTTAAAAGATTATGTGTATGTATTTATTTATGTACACCGTATATTCTCACGCATAAGCTTAGCTTTGCAAATTACGATAGAAAAACTGGGGGGGGGGTCGTCTTACACACGCAACACGTCGTACAAAACATGAATTTACTACTGAAATGAACCTACAATGGTTAGCATGAATAAACGCAATTTTTAAATACGAGGAAGTAAGATTCTGATGAACATTTAAAAGCCCATTAAATGGTATTATTTGGAAGATTTAAGATTAGCCCTACATTTGGCTTCATTTTTAGCCAGCTGATGCAGGATCAACGCCAAAAAAAGCAGCAAAAAGTATGAATTTTCGATGGTAAAACAGGGAGGGGGCTGTCTTTTACGTGAGAAGATACAGTAATATTTTCTTATAGAATTTTCAAAGTCTGATACAGTATTCAGCTTCATGCTACACTGATCATTATGTTTATACTATTGGAATATTAATAAATTAAATGTGAAGAGCATAACAAAGTGGATAAGCCAGTATAAGGTGTAATTAATCTACCAATTAGCTGGCAATTACCATCAAGAACATTAACACATAAAGTATTAATATACAATTACATATACTAGCCATAGGTTAGTCAACCTATAGGTTAATAACCTACCACAACACATACACAAAAAACAAACATCAATAGCAAAAGCAACAATACTTCCCTGCAGAAGCATGGTCATTAGGAAAATCCAATAAAAAGGTGAAAAATAATTTTTGGATTGCAATCTAAAAGTTGGTGCATTGTGCATTTCAAATACTGTATACGTTGCAATGCATGCGCACTAATCAATAATACTGTGCAATGAACAGCTTGGAAGTATATTATAGTAAAATACTAAACATAGAATTTTATTATTACTATTTTTACAACCATATTTATAGAGGGTGACCCTTCTAGTATATCGTAGAAGGTGGGCTGATATTCAGGAGTCCCCTTAAATAAATAAAATACCATGATGCTTTATCAGCGAAATCTCATTACAAGGCTTTATAGGGAGTGGAGGTGTGTTTTAACCGTGCTGTCACAGGATTTGAACTCAGGACCCTGGGATTGTAAGGCAACCATTTTAACCAATATAGCTATAGAGAAATTGTCATGTGCGAAAATAATAGTTTTAAATTGTATTTTCATACAACATTCAGCAAACATTAATACGATACTAAAAAATAGGAAATAAAATCTAAATAGTAGCCAATCAATACATTGGCATGTTAACAAGACTTGAATTGAGAAGAAATGAAAAATATTACCTTTATCTGAGGAAAAAAATTAGAAAGTAAAAATATGTAAGTGACATAAAATTTAAGAAAAGCAACAATCAGTGGCAGCAACAGAGATTCTCCAACAAGGGGTCAAAGGTCCTTCACAGGGGGCCCAAAGTTCCCAGTGAGAGATCTAAAATCCATGATAAGGACAAACCCCACCTACCAAATTTGGAGCAAATTTTAAGAGTAGGCACATCTAGATGCCTGGAAATGGTACATTCATGCTGAAAAACTGGTTTTCAATCCAGTATTTACTGACAAAATGATTGGTTTTTTAACCGACAAGATTGTGGAGTTCCCTGATAGGGGTCCTGCCCCTCTGGAGACCCCAACTGGTGCCGCCACAGCAATACAGTTAGCTAGGTGACCAGCACAGTTTAACTATACGGTAATAATGATGATATACTTAAGTCTCAGATTAGCAACATACGTAATATACAATAGTGTACCAGTAGAATCTTAGGCTGGGCACTCCATGCAAACAACAGTCTTTGGCTGACGCGATTCCATGGAGAACGTCAATATGTGCATGCAACAAAAAATCCTTTTTTATGAAAATTTATTCGGGCAGCTGACAATCAGCAGACGAAGTTGCATCGTTAAAAACTTACAGGGAGTGGAGTAGTATTCGATGGCTGACAGTCGTACGACCGTCGAACAATGCAGTAAGTGCCCAGCCTTAGATTTAGCCACAGTATTACTGCAGTGACCGTGTACAGTCTCTGATACTCATCATTACTTTTCAAATACAATCAGCTAGTGAGTGTTGGCTAAGGCACACACATACAGATTTTAGACATTTGACTTAAGCACGGACAAACACGTCGCCATCAAAGCTGTGCCCTGTGAGTACCGTATGTGGATGTGGGTCTTCTACCAGTCTTTTGTCAGATAGTAGTACTTATTGGATATGAGTGCTGTGATGGTACAAAACAGATGGATCAGTCAAAGCCTCTCCTTTATTATAAAGAATTCATTACTGCCATCAGCACCACAGTTGCCATTGAAGCGGTGCCACCTGATTCATCCTGTAAGTATGTGGATGGTTTGAT